TTAGAGTTTGTATACTCTTGGAAGTCAAGCTTCTTCTGTGCAAGGTGCCGTGTGCCCCGTCACAGTAACGGTACACTGTAGTGTGCAATGTCACACTTTATGTTGAATTGTTAAGCATATCTACCGGCAATTGGAGCCCCACTCAAGGTTACTCGAAACGATTTTATTCATCTTAACGACACTCAGTATGAGTCCGATTCGAAGGTGGCAAGCACCATTGAGCTTAAGCCCGAGAAAGATTGGCGGCATATCGCCGATCGAGCAGGTTGGACGCACGAAAGCGCTTAACCGTTATGTAATCAAATGATTCATCATGAAGTGACACGCTCAGAACGTTCGAGGCGACAGTTAAATGCAAATCGTGTGTGCTCACAATTTTGATGGGAGGGTGTCACGGGGTGGTATGAAGGGGTTGGTCATACAAGATGGTGAGATCACACAATGATGTGGCTACATCTTAACAGGAAGCCACTACGTGGCTGGACTGCCGGGAGTTATTATGAATTTAAATTTTATTTTTCTATATAGATGGGAAAAACTCCAGATAAGCTGCAGCGGGACTGCCGTAGCAAAACGCTTGAGGAAGCGTACTTTAGCGTACTTTAGGTCACCCGCCTTTCGTTCTTTACAAGAACCAAGTATGAGTAAACGGATTGCAATCCGCTTACTCCAAGAGTGATTATTGCCTTCTCAAGGCTAATCGACTCTACAGTTTAAATTCCAAACAGATTTTTATTTATCTTTTTATCCTAATGTAAAAGTATATATTTCTAAATATACTAAATATATATAGTAAAATCTTAATACATGCATAACTACTGATTACCTAGCCCCGATCCGTATTCTCGTTCGGGTGTGTGGTCACGCCATGCACATATCGTGTGACACACACGCCCCTGTTATTAGGGTTCGTGTAACCCCGTTACATTTAGATATAGGCGGCTCCTTCACAAAAAAACAAAGAAATACCGTTTACATTTTGAACATAAGAGTTTATTTGCCTTGGGTTAAGGTTGTGGTTACTCATGAAGTGAGCGGATTGCGATCCGCTACACTCTTACCGGTTAAAGTAGAACGAAGGTCACCGACTTTAGCTTAACTTTCAACAAGCGAAAAAACTACGACAGCCCCGCTGCAGCTGAAGGGCAAGACTAGTCATCGCAGGGTCGAGCGATAAATTGTAAGCACATCTTAAGAAGGAAGTGGCAAAGCTGGGGCAAGATCATAGCAGCTACAGTACCATATTGCTACTCAAACCACTTTTACTACACCCACCGCTTTTCAAAATGGGCTCATTGGACGCCGAAGATCTCGATGCGAGCCGCACTTGCTTGACTACTGAAAATGCTTATGTTTATAGTTGGTTCCGGTAGTAGGGAGAGATGCGGTAATTGCTGACGCTTTCGCCAGCTATGAGTGTGCGCTGACGGGGCACCTCAAAACTCTTGAGTGATCTTTTGCAAAATGAGAAACGATGTCGCATCACAGCATTCTTTTATTGATGCATGAGAGATAAGATGTACGGCTTTGACTTAGAAATCCTCAGATACCTTCAGGAAATTCTCCCGTGACTCAGAATTCTCCTTGTCGTGGCACTCATTTTAGATTTTTCGATCGGTTTTTGCGACAGGCAAACCCTTTTGCTACCGTAGAGCATAAGAAAAATTATAATGGACGTACGTTAAGATTTATGTACTTTGTGCACCTCTCCGTCCGTCGTGGCATTGCCGGCGTTCGCAGTGCTGAGTTAATATCACACATATGCGCGGCGCAGCGGGCAGACCTTGATTGATCCAGTCGATTATCTTAACACAACTGTGTTTGCAAACTTTTAAGCTCGAAGACGGGTAAGATGATCTGGATAATACAGGTCGAGATCATTAGTAACGAGCTGGATCCCGTCAAGAGCTTTGCGGCGGGGTGACGCTATATTGCGTAGCGTGCTTGAAATGCGTATTACTCTTATGGAACGTCTGAACCGTATGGTCATCAGGATGGAGATGATGCGGACCAGTACTTTGGAGGACACTTGTACCGCTCTTATCGCTAAGCGCATCAGTTACCTCACCGAGACGAGATGAAGTGCTTCCTCGAATTTTTCGATCCATGTGATCTCACCGGGGAATATTTATTGCGCTCGTAGACCAGAAGAACTAATCCAGGAGCTTCACTTGTATGTGTCATCGCCAGTAGTACTGTGAACGAACCGAACAGTCCTTTTTGAGAGCGAATGGCCTGGCCCGGAACAGGACTACTTGCTCTCGACTCACCTCAACAAACTGAAACAGCACGCAGCCAACAGCATAATTTGTATCTTCATCTATGACGTGATATGATTTGCCCTGTGTGAGACGTTTGGATAGGTGTTTTTTATAAGCCCGTCATGAACTTTCAATAAAACTCCTGGCTTTATGGCGCCCTTCTGTAACAAGTCGGTCGGAGATTTCGCACCGCGTACTTACGTGCAGGCAAAGTTCACTAAATCGGCATATTGTAGTAACACAACCTTTGGGTTCTCGATATACATAGCAATAATCCGGTCCACAGTAACCACCAAATTTGGATGAGAAAGAAGTCCAACTACGCCTTTCACAGTAGCAAGCCTCCTAAGTATATTGGATGTAATGTCTTAGGCTCTTTCCGACGCTATGCAAATTTCAATTGCCTATTTACATAGCTTTTTTTATTCTTGCGTACGTTTAAACGACGTCGTCGACAGTATATTCTCTCAGACGGACTGGACTGTATGCAAACCGCCAGTTGTAAATATGAACTTGATGTAGCATAAAAGTGTGAGGTCATGAAAGCGAAAAGGTACTACGCAACCCTTGACAAGCGCTTTTTCAGTGCAGTAAATTATTATCCCGACTGTTTGAGCCACCAATAGATGGAGAGCACTTGTTACTGGTCTGTACCTCGGTTATTAAAGATGCTTAGTATATGCCAACTTTATGCACAATCACATGAGCGATATTGTTGCTCAACCGTAATCATGAAGTTGTCACCACTTCCAATTAAGCTACCGAACAAAGAATAATGTCGTTTAATGCGAATTTTGGTTCCCGCACCATTCCATTCTACCCTTACTCGGCAAATAAAGTATCACTTCGCACTTTTCGCGAAGGAGATTACTTTGCTTTGTGACAACATACCTCAATAACTTGCAGTGAGCCCGCTATCAGAGGATCTTCTCACGATTTTCTATGCTCATGGCGGAGGATTCCTTTGGAATCTCAGAAACGTTTTACAACTTCTGAAAGGTCACTTCCCACAATCTTACAGGCCTTTGGCTAGGCCTGCTTGTCAGTAACTTTTCCTCATTCTAGATACACCGTCGGCCGTGACTACGACAGATTGGCACCTGTCCGTACAAGACAATCGTCACGTTGTGGTTACTGCATTACATTAACGACGTCTAGAAAATTCTTGTGGCGTCTGGTCATCGGCGAGAAATTAAGTTTCTACCACACACCTTTCAAATTGACGCCGCCCATTGATCACCATGTCTTGTGTTGCCACAGGAGCTAGACCTTCGATACTTCTGATCTTATATGTAGCATCGTTACCCACACTATTTAGCGTCTTAGCGTTCACGAAGAAAGTCAACATAGGCAGCTCCATCAGCTGTTATAGTCTGTGTGACCTATCGTGATAGGTTATTATCACTGATTCGGTGTAGAGCTTCGTCATTCACACAAAGATCGTCTCTTGCCTCTTCCAAACCATCTCAGTCTCCGCGACTAGTCCTTGAGTAATTTACATTCAACCGAGTACCGTCTTTATCAGCTTAACGCTTCGAGGCCTTTCTAATAGATATTCCTCGTTGTATTTGCTCGCGGAGTTGTTGACCGCGTCCATATCAGAATTTATATATCTTACAGTGATATCACCCATGAAATTTGTAGGAACGCCTTGAGTATCCCGAAGTCCGACAGAGTGACCGAGGTGAGAACACGACTCACCAAAGTTCTACAGCCTGGAGCTCTTCTTAGCCCTGGACTATCAGGGTCTTTAAACTTTACATTCAGGTTCATAAGAACCTTGGGCTCTCTTATCATGGTATTATCTGCCAGTATTTGCCACACTGGTTGGATTTTGTTACTCTCTTGTAGGATGTTAGCAAACGTGTCGCGATTCTTTGTTACCGCGCAAATATCCTTGACTCGCTGAGGGTATATAAGAATATCATGACGACTTCGTCTGATTTCTTGTATCATGATCAGTACTGCGAAGCTCTTACTCCTTTGATAGTAATAAGGATCTCATGGGTTCAGTCCCCATGGCATGTGAAATTCAAAGGAAACTCAGTGTCACCCCGGTAGCGCCCCATCGATCTTATTGAGACGATTTTCTGACTTTGATGTCGTTTTTTCTGCCCTGGGGAAAGGGAAACCCCTTCTCCACCCCTGTGCACTCTCTTGAGTCTAAAAGGCTTGGTTTGTGCTCAGAGTTCTGGCATAGTGGAAAATCGCGTGTCTGAGGCACCTCTATATTCCGAGGACCTTCTGCACGCATTTTCTGCTCAATAAATGTTGTGTCAAGGACACGAAAGATGCCCAGCCTTGCTGGTTCCGAAAGTGCCCGCGGGCAGAGCCTTACTTCGTCTCCTGCACGCTGTGCAACTTCAGACGGCACGTCCGCGGCTTCAAGGGAAGCACATCCCAAGCCCCCGACAATCGAGCACCACGCTCACCGCTTACGACGGATTTCCTCGTCCGGGATTGGAGGAGGTCGACTGCGAGTCGGACAATCCTTTGACAAAGATGGGAAGAAGAGGAGGGCGAGGTGCGACATGAGCCCTGCCCAAACCTTGCGGACACCGTGTCCGTTTCCCGGCCACTTGACTTCTGCGGGGAGTGGTATCATTACATCGCCTCGACGAGGCACTGGAACAGCAGTTGGAAGCTGCACGTCTTGATCAGCTCCACGAATTCTGAATATCGGCGCCAGTCTGCATATAGCTCTGTGCCGTGCATTATTGTTATCAAATACCTGCATGACGATCGGCACCGGAGCGGAATGGAGCGATGCAAAACTTAGGGATCGACAACGTCGCAGGAACAACTGTACTGTTACCCAATGAGACTACTGCAAATGTCTTGTGTGCTACAGTTACACGAATATTGGTTTGTTCATCACCCACAGGGCGGCTATGCGCGCGCATCCAGGGTCGGTCCCAGACCCTCGTGTGGAATATGGCTTCCGCTTGGCAGAATCCCCTACTGAAACGAATGACGTTATCATTCGACCGTTAGGCGTCTACGTAGTCGAGCCCCGGCCACTACACAAGCCGCGCTTGACGAACGAAAAGCTCTGCGAGCTCGCATCTTGGTACCTCAAGAAATCCCAACACGCTCATTTTCGTGCTCAAAGAGGAGGCGCAATGCGGACGATCCCTGTGCTGCTTACTCCTCGCGATACAGCTGCAGATGATGATGAGCTCTTTGAGCGATGGGGCAGCGGCACCGGAAACCTTCTTCGCTGCGCAACTTACCGTTGAGCCACAGGGAGGTAAACGCACGTGAGGAACGCCATCTCCGGTTTAAGTTTGCGAAACTAAAAGCGCGTCGCCGACCTTATTCGGATTGTTACCCTGCAATGTCATTGATTAATCTATGACGCTCCCGCGAGCTCTATCGTCTCTTACACGGGTCAATGACCACAGCAGCTCAGGGCCATAGCGTGAGCTCAGCTCATGGCTCTTCGGCTAATGCTGAGAAGCGCGGGGCGTACGACAACGCGGAGCATCATGATTCCACTGATCAAAACCGTCAACGACGTCTGGGGAGTTTAGCCGAAGTGGCATCTAAAGCTCTCACGAGTTTTCGGAGTCGGGTTATCCCCGCCACTTCACAAAATATTGAAACTAACCTTGTTGATGACGTCGCCCCACAAGAAGTTCCACGTGATAGTAGACGCCACCGTTCTCGTCGAGAAGAAGTCAGCGGCGGACGATGACGGCTGGATTGATCGCTGTCCGGTGATCTTCGAGCTCGTGAGGACAAGGTACGTCGCGATCAAGGGTCCGCTGAGCAACATGCTGGGGTCGTATACTGATGTGCGGGGGACATAGAGTGCTTGGAACACTTTGTGCACCGACTGCCTCAAGTTGAGGACTATCGCACTCTGTCGGAGCGGCTCCTAACCGCCGAGCAGACAAATGCGTCACTACGTGCGACTGTGGAGCGCCTGGGACCGCTGGAGATGGCAATCGTTGCACTCCATGCTCAATACCAGTTGCTGGTCCAGCTTTTGGATGCACGAGCGCCTGTGGACGCCACAACGTTTCCGCGTTCACTCGCGCCGGATCCCTGTACGGCTTGAGCGCACCCATATAAAACATCGAGTGGGTGTGCATCTGTTTCAGCGTATACGCAAGGCCTAACTTAGCCATGACCTTAAAAAATCCAACTAACAATATCTTATAGACAGCACATTTTGCATGTGTGAGAAGGTTTTGAGCATTTATGAAACTTTTCAGCTTTTCTTCTGCTTCTACCGGCTGCATTTCTTGACTTTAAATCATTGCAACGCGAACGTGTCGTAAACAAGTCGATGACTTTCTGTCTACCTATACAAAACGTCATTGACTTGCTTACGAACAGTGATGGGGCTAACATCAGCAGCCGCTCAGCTATTCCCTTCCATCAAGCCCTGAACCATGCGATGGCAGCGTCAGTGAGATGCGAGGACAACCGCGCCCGTTCACGTAGATATGGCGCTTCAGCGCCTCGGCGTCTCAGAGCAGACGCCGCGAGGGACGTCTTCAACGACGCGATCCACGTGCTCAGCTTGACCATCGGTCTGCAGATGGTCCGCTGTTGACATAGTCAACTTGATATCCAGCACCCTGAAGATTCTAGACCAAAACAAGCCAGGAAAGCATGGGAGTCTGTTGGAGACGATTAAGTCCGGGGGTTCATGTTGTCGAAAGAAACGATCCACAAACAGTGTCGCTGAACCAATACCGTCGATGGTGTCCGCACCGGTGCAAGATGAGCCATCTTGCACAAACGTACAACGAAGACCACGACTCCCGTGTGTCCCGTCGAGTCCTTCGGTAGGTCAAAAACAAAGTCCATACTCATGGACTGTCAACAACCGGAGGGTACCGGCAAACTCGCCAGCGGCGCCGCCGCCGCATTCGGAGAGGGTTTCACCCTTGAACATACCCCACACATGCGCACATATGTTCTCCTCCCTTTGTTCAGTTTGGGTCACCAGTCGTGGCAACTCACAAAGCTGTAGGTCTTCTCAAGACTGAGAAGATGACAGTGTGACGTCAATGACGCCTTCTTTCGTGCAAAGCACAACGCAGGGATGGTGTGTGAGATTATGTTTCTTTTTTCGACTCCCACGTTTTGTGTCCGAAAGCCGAACGGGGAGTGGCGTATCGTTCACGATTACAATAAGCTCAACGCTGCCGACATTTCGGCACAGACGCCGATTCCTAGAAAATATGTCCTCCAGAACAACATGGCTGGATGTGCAAAGTGCAGTGTCGATGGGTATTCACAATTGCTCATGAGAGCAAGTGATATGTTGCTGCCAGCGGTGTGTACTCCGAGCGGCGTGTTCTGGGAGGAACTGATGATGCCCCAAGGGTTGCCCAATGCACCAGCAACATATAATCGTCTTGTGACGCAGTTATTCAGGCCCCATTGGGCGTATGCATAGACATAATTCAACGACATCTTCGTCCACAGTCGTGTGGAGCACGGGAGGACATATGAAGAGAACCACATTGCCCATTTGAGAGTGGTGCTCGAGTGCATGCGCACGAAAAAGCCGTCTGTTAATGCAGACAAGAGCATATTCGGCGCGGTAGATTTCCCATTTTAGGGTGCTTCATTGGGAATCGTGGCCTTCGAGCGGGTTCCGCTAAGGTCAAGGCCATTGTGGACTGGTGGGTTCAAAAAAACAAAAAACATGCGCAAGTGGCTTGGCCTCGCCAACAACTCGCACAGTTTTAGCGCACAATTCGCGAAAATGGCTCGGCTATTGTCCGATCTTCTTAAAAAGAATACGGAAAGGTGTTGGGACAGCGAGCATCGGAAGGCTTTTGACAGGGTAAAAAAAGCCTCCTTCATTCACCAATACTGGCGTTGCCATACCCCGATCGTTCTTTTTGTGTCGACTGTGACGCTTCGGACTTTTGAGTCGGCTGTGCACTGCCGTAAGTAGATGCGGAGTGGCGGGATCGGGTGATCGCGTTGGAATATTGTCAGCTCAGGGCTGCAGAGAAAAGCTACCCAGTTCACGCCAAGAACGCAAGTATGCACTTGTCAAGTTCAGGGTCCACCTGCTTGGCTCCAAGCCGATCGTGATTTACGCAGATCATGCGTCACTACTGACTGCGACTCAGTCGTATCACCTCTAGCACAGAATATAACTTCGAGGTGAAGTATAAGTCAGGAAAACAGAATACTTTGGCTGATACGTTTTCATGCAGTCCAAATAATGAGCTTGCTCACGTCACGATAGTGACGTCGTTCATGACGGATTTGATCCGCATCGCACACGCGGGTGATGATATGTGCATAGAGCTAGCGGTGGTACAGGCTCTTGGGAGCAAGGAGTTCGGGAACTCGGACAGGAAGTTGTCGTCGCGACTGCGTGCACAGGCGCACCGATAATCGATTAAAAATGAATTGCTATATTACAGCACCGACTGGACGGATTTGCCACGATTTGTGGTTCCTCAGGATGAAAAGTTGAAGTACCGTATAATCAACGAAGCCCACTCAGTGGTCATCTCGGTCGTGAGAAGACCTACAGCTATGTGAATTGCCACTACTGGTGGCCCAAACTGTAAAATGGGCGAGTTCGTATGTGCGCGTGTGTGGGATGTGTCAAAGGGTGAAACCCTCATCGAATGCGGCGGCACCACTGTCCATTTTACCGTTAACCTCCGGGTATTGGCAGTCCATGAGTATGGTCTTTGTGTTTGGCCTGCCGAAGGGATTCGGCGAGCAACATGGGTGTGGTGGTCTTCGTCGACCGTTTGAGCAAGATTGCTCATCTTGCAGTGGTGCCGGACACCAACGATGATGTGGGTACAGCGAAGCTGTTTGCGAACCGTGTCTTTCGACGACATGAACCCCCCGGAGTCAATAGTCTCCGACAGAGACCCACGCTTCACTGGGATGTTCTGGTCGACGATCTTTGAGATGGTGGGTATCAAGTAGACTATGTTAACAGCGGACCACCAGCAGAGCGATGGTCAGACTGACCATGCAAAGTGCGTCATCAAAGACATCTTTTGCGGCATCTACGCTGAGACGCCGAGGCGCTGGTGCACCATGCTGCCACTTGTAGGGTTCGCTCTGAACAATGATGTTTATGCGTCTACCGGCTACGCGCCGTCCTACGTGAACGGGCTTGTTAATTTTCGCGTGCCTTTGACGCCGCCATCACGGAGTTAAGAACCTATAAGAGTTTCAGGTGCCACCTCGGCAAGACTGCCCAGACGTCGTCGGCGCCTATGATCGGAGGGATTATGATATACTGCGTCTACGTACGCCCCGCTCTCGGCAATAGCCAGGGAGGTCGAAGGGCCATGATCTGATTTCATGGTATGGCCTTGAGCTGTTGTGGTCGCAACTCACCCGTGTGAGAGACCACAGAGCTCGCGGGGGCGTGATGGATTAATCTATACGTTGCAGGGCGACAATACAAAGGCAGGCGGCAACGCGCCTTTAGTTTGGCAAACTTGAACCGGAGATGGCGTTCCACGCGCACGTCCACCAATTTGTGGCTCCGCTGTAAGTTGGTCAGCGAGGAAAGTTTCCGGTGCCGCTGCACCCATCGATCAAAAAGTTTTCTGTAGCGTTTTCGCCTGGGGCGAGCACCTCAAGAATCGTCCATATCGCGGGTACAGGCGCGCCTCTTGTTTGAGTGCGAATTTGAGCGCGGTACGTTTCCAACGGGATTTCTTGCGGAACCAAAAAGAGAGCTCGCAGAGCTTTCCGTTCGTCAAGTTCAGCTTGTGTTGTGGCCAACCACGTAGACGTCCAACGATCGAGTAAACGCGCCCTTCGCTTCTTTAGCGGGATCCGCCGAGCGGAAGCCGTATTCACACGAGGGTGAGGGACCAACCATGGATGCGCGCGCATAGCCGCCCTGTGGACAACATCCAAGTGCTTTCTCTGTGCCTCGTCCAGATCATTGATAATGATACCACTTCCCCCGGAAGTCGAGAGGTCGAGAAACAGACACTGTTTCCTCAACGTTCAAGCCAGGGCTCACGTCGCGTCGTTGGCTCACTTCGCCCTCTACTTCTTCAATTCCTGTCCGACTCGAAGTCGACTTCCTCCTAATCCCTGACGAGGCAATCCGTCGTTCGTGACGGGCGCGGTGCTCGATTGTCGAGGGCTTGGGATGTGCTTTCCTTGAAGTCGCGGACGTGCTATCCGAAGTTGCACAGCGTGCAGGAGACGAAGAATGGCCCCGCCCGCGGGGTCTCTTGGAATTAGCGAGGCCGAGTGCTTTTTGTGTTCTAGACACAGGGCTCACTGAATAGAGAATACGCGCAGAAGGTCCTGGGGATGCAGAGGTGTCCTAGACGTGGGAGTCTCGTTCGAGGGGACTGTTAGATATGAGTTGTGGGTGTTCGCAGGGAGAATGTAACGGGTTTACACGAAATCTAGTATGAAGGGGTGGGTCACACAAGATGGTGTGACTACACAAGAGTGTGGGTTACACAAGACGTAGTAATCACACAATGTCGTGGCTACACCTTAACAAGTAGCAAGTACGTGGCTGGATGCATTTTAATCAGGTTTTCTATCTAGATAGGTATAGACTTGGATATAAGCGGCTTTGCGGCGTATTACAAAAAAAATCAGTTCACAATATGATTGGAAGATTTTTTTAAATATAGAACGAAGATCACCGACCTTAGCTTAGCTACTTGG